GTACAAGCTAGGTGCCACTATATGTATAATGATGATATAGAAAAAACCATCCATGGGGGGAAGAAGATGATGATGATGGAGAAGAAGATGAAGCCAAAATGGGTTTCATTTTCCAAATTAATGAGCATGTCTTCGGTACTCAATTACTTCAAGAAAATGGACAAAAACTAAGGGACCTAACCACATTATTGACTCTCTTTGCTCCTTTCTTTCTCATTATTATTATTATTTTCATTTTTTTTTACCCCACGGTTCTGTATATTTCATCGATTCTGTCTCACTGAGATGATGAGATTTGGAGAGTCTCTATATTTTATGATTTTAGTCTTTATTTTTTTAGATGATATCGAGCAAAACAAGTGCAATTTTTAAAATATTTAGGAAATCTAAAAATTACCCATATGTGATGCTTCTTTTAAAGTTGAACTTGTTAATAAATTAGAATATTAGGGTGGCTCTAAAAGTGAAAATTAAACCTAAAATTTTCAATGTGATGAAAATAACTACCTTTAATTTGGTTATTGAGTTTTGATATTTTTAAGAATTAATGATTATACAGTGATATTACGTTTCGGATAGGCAATCCTACCAGGTTGGCAGTGAGTATGTTTGTTTTGGATAATGATGCGAAACTTCTAGACTATTATATTTCTCTTTTTTTTCACAAACCAGTTTAAATTCCCTAATTTAATGTTGTTATTTTACCGTAATTTTTCTCCACTAATTTTTATTTCACAATTTTTACCAAAATGATTTACCTAGAATTTTTACCTACGTTCACTCCTTTTTACTCTTACGATACGTTAAGCATCCAAGACAACTATATATCAATATAATTTTTTTATCCATAAGGTTGGAACGTGGAAACCAACAAAACTTTACTACTCAAAGGCGTTTTGAGTTATTAAATGATCCAATTTAATATCTACATGAAGTTTAAAAGGTATGTTAATGGGGACTCCAGTGTTAAATATTTACAATATAGTTTTATCGATTTACCAGTCTTTTGACTTAGGTTCTAAAATTCGAGTATTATTACAGAAAATTCACGTCCATATACAAGGGATTTAAAAAAAACATTAATAACTCCATTATTTGTTTCAACAATTTGCAAATCCTTTTAATTAGGATTTGACCATGGGATTTTATAGAAAATTTAATTAAAAAATATAGTGTTAGATACAATTAATTTACATTAACAACAAATGTCTTTTGTTCTTCAATTTTTGTATTCCACTAAAAGATATTTTGCCTAGAATGCTTTCTTTTATTCGTTGGTTAATTTAAGTTATAGCAAGCTTGCCTGCAAGTCCTCAATTGTACGTCATGCTATATATAGTGTAATAATGCTATACTTTAGAAATTTGTTCTTTGAATGGCTTAAAAATGTTAGATTTGATTTGGGATACGAGAAATTACTCATTTTGTTGGGTGACCAAAAAAAAAAGAATTTATAATTAATAAACAAATAGTTGGGACTTTTTTTCCTTTGCCAAAAAAATCAATTTTATTAATATCTAAAAAGTAGTCACATACACTACTAGCAGAAGCCAATGAAATTCTTAGAAAAAATCCTATAGATACAACCCAACACACAAAGAAACTTACAGATCAAAAGAAAAAAAATCACATTAAGAACAATGAAAAAAAATTAAATGAGAAAAGTAAACTACATGCTATTCCACAGTAAAAGAATTAGAATAAGATTTTAATTAAGTCGTATATATAATTAACTATTTGAGGAATTGGAGAAAACAAAATCCGGGTTTAGATGGAGATAGTCCGATAGAATGAGATGAGGATAATGATTAGAGTTGAAATCTTCATGTGGTTATGAAAAAATAATAATAATTTATTGAATAAAAAAGACAAAAATTGTTATCTATTTTTAATTATTTATTATGTCACTTAAAATACGTGAGTATATGATTATCTTCTTTTACTTTGTTCACTAGAAAAATAATTTAATAGAAAAAGTTTAGATCGGTTTTAATTGAATAGAATAAAAGCAAATGATTATAATTAAGCATAATGACAAATATTACTTTGAATTGCGTTGCCGAGATTGGAAGTCCAACACGGCAACAATTAACGTAAACATGTTTACATAATGTGAAAACCAAGAAGGATTTGAAAAGAATTATTATTATTATTATTATTATTATTATTATTATTAATGAAAACTAATGCTACTTTTTCATATGTACTTAAGTCCAGTCTTATCTTAACTAATATGAACAAATTATAACTTTTTGACCATATTGCTCACCTTTGTTTTCTTTTTGTAGTTTGACTCTTTAATTTTAATTTTTCCTTTTATTTTTGGGCACTGAGGGCATTTCACTGGTGGCGTCTGGGGTGATCTTTTCAGATCTTATTAAGCAACCGACTAATATTTGCCCAATCTCTAATTAATGAAAAAATGAATAATTACTTCATATACCGTACAAATATTTTGGACACTAGAAGTACTTTTTCACAAATCGAGATAAATTTCTCCATATATTTACTTCATATATTGTACAAGTATTTTTAAAATCATAGTTTTGATTCCATCCGAACACCCCCTTAGTATGAAATTAGTCAAGTTGAAGAATACTAAAAAAAAATAAGGTTAATATAATTTTTTTTTTGTTATTCAAATTTATTCTCATTGTGAAGTTTCAAATCAGAATTTTTGTTCCTCAAGAAGTAAAATGGTCAAAACTTTATTGAATTATAGGGACCAACATTTTAATTAAATGAATAGAAACTTGATGGACTAAAATTTATTATTTAAAACTTGAAGACCAAAACCAAAATAAAGACAAATTTAAAGGACCAATAATTATATTAACCTAAAAAAAAGTCATATAATTATATTATATACACTACAGTGTGTTTTCAAAATCATTAATCAATCTTGGAATTATTTTTACACTCGAATTAAAATCTCTTTACATTATTTTTATTTGTATAAATAAATTTTCCTCGCTTCTGTCAATAAAAATACACCTTATCTCCTTTTTTTTAAAAGGAAAAAATCTTCTCTTGAATTGAGCTGTTTGGTGCGAAGGAGTCAATTACGGGCATATTTAGAATTTGAATCAATAAAACCATAAGCAGCCATTATTATAACTATTATTATCTTTTGTTCTCTTCTAAAAATTCAAAAACACATCATTATTTTATGTTAGCACAAAATATTTAAACATTAATTGTTTTAGGAATGGGTACCAAAAATAATGTAAAGAAACATTTTTTTCTTGATTGACTAAACCCTTTTAGAGTGTTGTCCACTTTGAATGTGATGCCAAATTTGTCTTCTACCATCATTATCTCTCTAATTTAATCTCACCTTCACACAACTTTTATGACTGCATGTTCCTCTACCTAACATCCCGCGGTAAAACCCCAAGACTGTTCAAACTTTACGTCAAGAATGGTTAATAGAGTCTTCATCTTTAAGTTTATCATCATTTTAGTTGTGATCCTTTAAATTTTAAATAATAGGTTTTGATCTTTTAAAAGGTAAAATAATTCAAATTTTTATTGAATTATAGGAGCCAATATCATAAATGAAAAGAAACTTGAGGGATCAAAATCAAAATTAAAAAAAACTTGAGAGACTAAATTCTGTATTAACCCTGTTAAAAATAAGCATAGGCTAAAGATGTATTTAGTACCCTAATCTTATTTTTTAGATACATCCAATACTTTAATAATTTTTTATGATGTGTCTAGCACCCTAATCTTTTTTTTTAGTGTATCCATCACTCTAATTTTATTTTTATACATCCAGTAACACCTTAAAGATTATAAATAACATCGGAGTGTTAGATGTATAGGAAAAATAAGATTAGAATACTGGGTGCATCATAAAAGGAATCAAATTACTCTTTCATTTTTAAAATCAGGATGCTAAATATATTTTAAAAATAAAATCAGGGTGCCAAATACACTTTTACCCATAGATATATCCACAATGACTAAAATGTTGAGGCCGTTAGGTTTATAATTGTTTTATATACACACCCATGCATATTTCTTAATTGAGATTTGTTATCACTGTGGTATATATTAATATGTTATATAAAATTATATTGTAATATTTCCACTAAATTACACATAATTTTCTTGAATTTTGCAACTTGTACAAATAATATCCAGAACGTTTGAAATTTTGCCATAAACCTCATTAATTCTCACATTTATACAGATTAATTTCCATATGATTGATTTTATATATTACTTTTTTTTCCTCAAAGATTTTATATATTACTTATCCGCACATAACTTCAAGTTTAGGAGATAATTTACATATTAATTAAAGTACGAGAGGAATTATATGCACACAAAAAAAATTTAAAGGGTATATAATTGATGGCTGTGAGTTATTCGCACATAATCAATAGCTTATGAACGAAGTTTATTACTAATTCCAATCATTAATGTAAAAACTACCTAACTAATTGGAATAGATTAAGACAGTTAGTTAAAATAATTATATGTAACAAATGTAATATGTTGATTTTCCTACACTACCCTTTTTATCATGCTTATTATAGCCATCTTTAGTAGAAACTCTTTCACTATGTGTAATCAATTAGAATATTTTGATAAAAAATTTATAAATTTAGGAGACAAATTCAGTTAAGTTCTCATATTTAAAATAAAATAAAATAAATTATTTATTTAATTCTTATATTTAAGACAAAGTAAAAGGCAGGATTAAGTTTAAAAAGCAAGGGAGTGAATGATTTGTACATGATGCAAGGAAAGTTCGTGGCTATTTATAAATCATATAAAAATTAGTGGGAGCTATCACAAGTCTCTCTGGGGGTTATATATATTTCACATTAGGGTATAAGATTGTCTTGGGTGTGCCCCGATCTTAACGTTACCCAGAACCCAAGTTAGGGAAGAGATGCTTTTGGACTGAAATATTTAAAAAAAAAGTAATGATAAAGGCCGTGAGAAAGAAAGAAGAAAGAGCCATTTTTTCTTCGCTCTCATTTCTGCATTTTCCATATATTGCTGCCCATTTGTAATCATGACTTGCTTCTGCCATCATTGCAATCTCTCTATCTCTCTCTCTCTCTCTCTCTTCGCTGCTAGATTTCTTTTTGATTTTTCCTTCTCTGCTCCATTTCATTATCATCATCATCTCCATCAACATTCAACATTTTCTTCTCCCATATAAAGCCCTTCAAGCTAAGCCAACCCCATATCTTCGTCCTCCTCCAATTTTCCACTTCCATTCACTCATCTCTTTCTCTTCTCTCTCTTAAAGCTATGTGCACATCCTCATCCTCCCCAGATGAATCCCTGTGTTCCACTTTTGGTCGTTCATGGCCTTTACCCATAAAGCGCCACAAGCTTCTTCATTTGAGGCTCCTCAAAAGGTACTCGCTTTTAGCCCTATTCTATTAACCCCATCATCTCTTTCTGCTTTATTTCTGGTTTCTTTAATTTCTCCCACAAACACCAATTCATCTGATATGATACAGCAACTTATATACATGGGGTGTGTGTGTGTGTGTGTGTGTGTGAGTCTCTCTCTCTCTCTCTCTCTCTCTCTACCTATCTATATATATGTATATATGTTCTGAGATGATTTGAGATGTTGAACGTACAGATTGAAGGAAGGAAGAGAGAGGAAGAAGAAGGTGGTTGTGAAGGTGAAATCAGAGATAGAAATGAAGAATCTGAGGCTGTTTATGGAGAATCAGAGCATAATAGAAGAGAATGAGAGGTTGAGGAAGAAGGCTTTGCTTCTTCATGAGGAGAATCAGGCTCTCTGGTGTCAGCTACAAATCAAGCTTTCTCAACAAAGTCGTACTACCACCAACTTAATTAACCCTAATTAAATTAATTAATTAATTGTTTTTAATAGCTAGTTTATACGTACACTTGATCCTTAATTAGAGTTTTCCTATTATATTTATGGGGCCCTCCTTAATCTTAATTGTCTTATCTAGTAGTTTTTTTTTTAATTATATCTTTCTGTTAATTAGTTTGGAGTTAAATAAGGATAGGTAGATAGGGCAGTGTTCGTCAAGTATGCAATTGTAGCCATATAATATATGCATAAGGAATTATGTCCAGTTATAATGTTATTATTTGTTTTCCCCAACTTAATTATGTCCTTTTCACTTGGCTTGATCTGATTGGAGCGATGAATTACAGAGAAAAAAGATGAGAAAACTGAGTTAAGTGTACTTGCTCGTGTGCTGAATATGTTTGAGATTAATTATTTGACATATTAATGAAATAGAATTAAAAATCAGATGAATAACTCTATCAATATGTGAAATATTTTGTATTTTTTGGATTAAAAAATAATAAAATAGTTATGATTAAATAATAATAGTTGGAGTATAAATATATAACATGTCACAATTGTTGTAAAATAATAAAAAAAAATCTGTGAATTTCATTAAATATTTTATTAAAAAGTAACACATTCCTATTTACTTTTTAAATATATATGTCCATTTAAAGAAATATTTTATTAAAAATTTTAGTATTTGAATCTCTGGCACTCATTAATAATATTAAGTTTCAAACTATATATAAATGCAGATTACCTATTTTATCCGCTTCAAGAAACGTTTCATACAATAAAATAAATTATCTATCTTAGTTAATTGCATTATACCATACCCCACCTTATCTCGTTAATGATCTAGTTAGTCTTTTTCAAAAATCTCAATTGAAAACCTTAATTTAGCTACACAATGATTTCACAAGTGTACCACTCACAAACACACACACACACACACACACACACACTATAACAGAAGCAATTTGGTGAATCCTTATCTTCATTTTGAAATTGTTGCTTATGATCTAGGCATTGAAAATATAATCAAATTACTCTATATATTATCTAATGATTTTTTTTGTATGAAAAAGTTCAGGTGAATTAAATCTTGAGAGCTCATCACTAAGACTAGAACATGTTTTTAGATTTAAAAAACACTTATAGAGATATTTATAGAACTATAACCAATAAAACTCTCGTACTACTAATAATGGGATTCGAACTTATGACCTAATAGGTTATGGTCATATATTATCCAAAAGACTGACAAGATCATTAACAAGACTAATTAGATGAATTATTTTCAATCCTGAAAATAGCAAGACTTGAATTTTTCACTTTTATGCTATTTCAATCCAATAATATCGATTATATTTTTGGGAGGATGACAGTGTGGAGTAGAATGATAAAATTAATTCTAGTTTGGGACCCACAGATCCTTCTAGTGAAGGACCAAGATTATAAAATAATATATGATGCTAATGTTCCAAAATTTGACACTGTCACACTAAACACTTTCGTCAGAATTTGACACTTGTATTTCTAGAAAAGGATAAAAAAATCATTAATTAATTTAACACTTGTATTCCAAACTTTACTACTAATATTCTAAAGTTTAACACTAATATTTCAAAATTGACAAAATAACACAGCTTCAGATTGTAATTGTCTGATATTGGAATATTAGCGTGAAATTTCGTAATATTATTGTTAAATTATTTAAGGATAATTTGGCTATTTATTGAAATACCAACAAAAAAAAAGTCTTGAACTAAAATTGAATTCTTTTTTGGTCTTAAACTACTATTCTTCCTATATGTTTATTAAGTACTGTGTTAAACACAAGATTTTATGCACCATAATACTCTTTTTAATATTCTTGTCATGATGTTGACATTACTACCAAACTTATTTGTTGAAATTGAAGAAGAAAAAATTAAGGTCCCTAAGCCCATTCTCCCACAATATCCTTCCTCTCATCTCATTGGATCCTTTGTGAACAACATGGGCCTCTAGTGTGAGCCCACCTATAATTTTATAATGGGTTGGCCCAAATTGTCCCCAGAAAAACCAAAGAGAAGAAGCAAAAACAGCCACAGTTGCACAATGACTCTTAATCCCCAGAATTAAAAAAAAAAAAAAGAATATCTAGTCTTACCCAGGGAAAAAGGACCCTTTTGTTTTTCTTTTGGATCTGAATCATATTCAATTAACTTATATCTTTGAATCTTTTAGTTTCTCTCTGCTATGCTTTAAACATTCAGCGTATTCTCCTATTCAAAGAAATCATATTCAAGATATTATTGGCAACTAAAGGTAGACACTTTTTTCAGTAAAAATTTACATATTAGTTCATTATGTTGTGAGTGACTAGATTTTTTCACTAGACCAACTCCTGTTTATTAATTAATCGTAACACTCACAATGGGCCCAAGGAATTTTTTTATATAAAATAGTGCGGGCCCTATTAAATCAACTTATTAGCCTTATGGATATCTCAAGCCCATAATGGATAAATAACCAACGCAGCCCATTGGTATTGGGCCTGGCCTAGAAACTATCTAGAGACACATCCACTTGGGTGTGGAGAAGGCCCACTAAACACAAGAGATCACTTTTTTTTTTTTTTTTGCCTTTCAGCATTATTTGAAGTTAACTTATTGGGCATAACAAAGACAGATAATGATGTCCCCCTTTTTAAAAAAAAAAAAAAATTCTTCATGTCAGACCACCACAAATAAAGCACTACAGTAGTGTTTTACTTTGGTTGCGTGGACCCTATGCTATAATCTTAACTGAATTACAGAATTTAAAATTTTCCCATGGCAAAGTTATTTCATATTCTTTTTAGGTTTATTCCATCACTCGAAAAGGAAAAAACTTATTATTATGACTAAATGCAATATTATTTCACTATCTTAAAAAATGTTAGGGAAAGAGACTCCTTTTTATGCCCAAAATAGCTTACATTTTGTGAATGAATTAGTTATAGAATTTGGGGTCAACCCCGATCATGTTGATATGTTTATGTATGTGCATAAGTGCATTTTATTATATTAAATCAAAGAAAATAAGCTATAGAGGTTTAGACCTAATGAAGAATTTTTCTGTAGCAAATAAAATGATTTAATTTCCTTTACTAGCAGTTTAATTTCACTACAAATAATTAATTTTATGATTTAGAAAACAAGACTCTACTCGTATATTTATTTCATATAGCATAAAATTATTTAAAATAAGTTGATTTAAATGTAGAGTTCAATATTTTGGAAAAAAAATATTATTTGTCAATTAATTAATTTGAAGGATTATATAAACACCAAATATGGATTATTGGGAGACAGAAATATAATAATAATAATTAAAGACAGGCTACGTTTGGCTTTTGCAAAAGGCACATATATACGTAGCAAACATAGCATACTTGTCGAAGGGTTTAAAGCTTGATCAAAGCATGGGCATACATATTCTCTCATCATTTCTTGTCTTTTCATAATTATTCTTTTAATTTTTATCATCTCTCTATTTTTTTGGGGTTTCATTTAATCTATTTTCCGTTCGTGTGTTAGAAACACTTGTTTTATTTTTACTACGTATGTTGGGGCGTGTGTGGGTAATTATAGATCATAATGGTTCTAAATGTGATGTCATACTTCTATATGTGCGTCTGAGAGGGAGAGTTATAATAAGTTTTTTTTTTTAATTTTTTCTTTTGGTAATTTTCTTTTTTTGGATTATTAGGGCATGAAAAATTAATAGTTATTCTCAGAAATAACAATACCCTAATAATATTCCCCTTTTTTTTAATTGTTGAGATCATAACTCAAACTTTTATTTAGGAAAATTTTCAAAAAAAACCCCTAAAAAATTTAAAATTTAAAATTAGGATTGACTACAAAAATATGTTATTATTTGCTTTTCAAATGTTATCAATTGTTGTTAAAGTGTAGTCAATAAAACTGATTTGGAATTCTAAAATTCAAAGGCATATTTTTTTGAAATTCTCCCCATAATTTATTGAGATTACTTTTATTTATTATTTTGGCCTAAAATCTATCATATCTCCGTCATATTTACAATTGAAATTTTAGTAGATACCGTTTATTAATTAGCTTTTCGCACGTTATACTTTGGGTGACTTCTATTATTATTTTTTCTTATTTTTATTTCTCTATAAATTCTAATTGTTTCAAAGCTAATTGATTTCAGCAACTAATAAGCATTCTGTCTTTTTTTTTTTGTGGTTGTTTTCTGGAACTCTTTTAAATAACTTCAATATATATATTACAAGAATATTATATTCGAATTCCGTTACTATTTCATTTGCTATACATTATTTGTAACTTTCCTCATCTTAATTTAAATCCCGTCTCCCATTCCACTTAGATAATATAATGTATGTGCATAATATTCTCTTTCGACTCATTAGAAAACTTTATTCATAAAAATTTCAGCCAACTTTTGGGAACTCTTCTTTTTCTATTCAGATGTGATATTCCATTTTATAGTTTGTAAAATAAACAAAAATATATATTAAGAACACAGTAGAAACTGTTTCTATAAACTTAATCTATTGAAACCCCCCCCCCCAAAATCTAAACCAAAACCTGAAGAAATAAAGAATTGGACTACGTATGCTTTGGTTATTAGTATCTATATATACCCCCCCCCAAAAAAAAAAAAAACACACACACACACACACAACGAAGAATAATGTCTAGAATGAAAAAAATTCCAGAAATTCATCACCACAACGACATTTATATATCTAACTTAACATTGATATGGTCCCCTTATCCTAAGAAGTAAAAATATTGGTATGGTTCCTCTTCGTACCATGAAACCAGGCAAAGGACAGATATATAGAAACACACACATACATAGGGACACAAACACACACTCTTATAAGCCAAATCGAATGATAATTTTATTAGGTTATGGTGCAAAACAAAACTGACAAGAACGAGGTTTAATAAACAAAATGCAGATATCAGTTTGATCGATGGAGTGTGTATAAGAAATATAAATCAAACTATATCTCTAAAACTTAATGTTCCAAATTATTTCACTGACAACACACACACACACAAGTTTTTACTGCAAGATTTTAATTCAAATTCTGGAAGTAGTTGTAACTTTTATTACGACCCATGCTTATTGTTCAAAGAATGGGAAACAAAAACATTAAATCCCTTCATATTCCATTCTATATACGTTCTAAAATATGAATATAATAGTTAGGGAAAAAAAGAAACCTTCCCTTCATATTAACTTGTCCAAGGTCATATATATATATATATATATATATATTTCTCCGGTCCTAAATATAAGACTTTTTTTTTTGTAGTGTATATAAGACCTTTTTTTGTAGTGTAAATTACACTACAAAAACGTTTCATATTTAGGACCGGAAGAATATATATAGATGTGGATAGAACTTTGCCCTAGTATGTCAGCTGCGAGGGAGGTGAGGAGATATATTATTGATATAAGGCGAAAATGATAAAATAAAAAGAAAATAAACTGAGAAAGAGTATATATAAAGATGTTTATCATTATGGAATCTTCATGTTGAATATAAACTCATATTGTTATTATAAGGGTATACTTTGAGGTTCCAAGTGATGCTCATCATAATGAAACCAGAAAGGTATAATCATCTCAAGCACTAATAGGGATGGTCCACCCACCTTATATATTATTTATTCATCCAAACACTTTGTGCCTCCAAAACTTAATTATGATCACAATATATATAATCAATGAAGAAACAAAGCAGACATATATGAATCACACTAAAAAAAAAAATTCAAGACGTGCCCACATTTTAATGTTGTACAATTCTATGCTTTTTAAGCTATTGGAATTTCCCTAGATACCGACTAGGTTGGCCAAATGATAAAAGATTTTCTGAAAGGACCAAGTAAGGGCAATTTCTACGGTTCCAATATATAAAATGAAATGACTCTTAAAGTTAATTAAAACAGTTAATATATGCGTACACATAAAAGGAGTTAGAGAGTTCAAGATTCTCTGGGTTCCTTCTTTATTGCGAGAATCACAGCTTCAAAAGAACGGCTCAGAAGCTGGCTAGCATATATATGAACTGGATATGAAAAGATGGAAAAGTTTTAGATTAAACTAGTAACAATAATAGTGGTGGCTGGCTATATATATATATATATATATATATATATGTGGTGAAAATAATTAAGTAAATAATGAATTCTTCATGTTTCATTAGTCACCCCTACTACTGAGAATTAAGTAGTGATCTAGCTCAGAGGTAGAGGAACTAGAAAGAGGCTAATAAATAGAATCCAAGGATGTGAGAAATGACAAGTGAATAAACAAAGGGAAAGCACATGTTGGCGTTGGTGGAAACTATAAGAGAGTGAAAAAGAAAATAACAGAGAGAGAGAGAGAGAGAGAGAGAGAGATAGCTAGGGTTTCAAGGAGCATCTATTCTATTCCATAACAAAGACAAAACTGTGAGTTATATTATATTTATGTCCCTCGCAGTACATCAACTACATATATACATATATATATATATATATATATATATTACTTACCTCTCTCAGCAATAACATTGAATAATTTGGTGTGACGGGAATGGGAGTTTTAGTGAGAAGAAAGAGTAAAACGCTTGGTCATTGAAGTCCGTTTTGTTGTGAGTTTGTTTGCCTCGGAAATGAGCTCTCCTTTCTTCCCTCTCTTGCAGCCAGACCAGCGCACGTGTGACTCTGTACCCAATGCTCATCTCTGCCTCCCTCGCTCCCTCCATATTCAACCCTAAATCTCACACACCCACCATAACCTCCCATCACCTTATTCCTTGGAATCAATGAAAACCTTATACTATATATGACACTGTCTTGTCTCTCTAACATCCAGGTTTTTCTTTATCTAATTAAAACAGATAAAAAAAAACCAGAAAGACATCATTAACATTAAAAGAGTGTGGGGGGAGATGTTTTTGGATGTAATGATGAGGGTTAGCAGTAGCTGAGAAAGTGATGAAAGAGAGAATCATGATAATGATATGGTCCTAAGTACAATATTAAAGGAGATTAATATAATTATTATGTCGAAGTTATTTTGTATGATCGATGTCTGTATTATATGCTATGCAAGAGTTTTTCTCGGAATAGATAAAATTGAGGAGGCCAAGAGTTCATATGTTAAAAACAACTAAACATGGTAGGGTTATTTGTAGATCATGTGTGTCCTAGAATCTGAACGTCAAACTCCCAGAACTTGGTATATATATACTAGCACCAACAACCAAAAAATAATGAAAATAAAAAAAGTTTCTGTGAAAGGAAAAAAGAAAAGCTGGGCGTTCTACAAGATCTCTTTTTTACTTCATATGCAAAGAGGGACTGATAAATTATCAGACAAGGTACCAGGAAATGCAGCAAGAAAATGTGGAAAAGAGAGAGAGAAGAATATATATGATGCTTCTGCTTGGTGTCGAAGCAATGACCAACAACACTTTAATTAGATGAAACACAAGAAAATAAAAATTAAAAGCCATTACCCAAAAATTCATGAGAAATTTGTACATCCCTTCTTCAATTTTGCAGCACCCATAATTACTGATGATGATATCATATCACAGGCTTTAAGTAAGCATAAACTATGTAAGTTATATGGAAGAAGGAGAATGAACAGTGACTAAATTTAAAAAAAAAGAAAGAAAGAAAGAAAGAAAGAGATAATGAAAAAGTTTCAGACTTTTTTTTTTCCCCTTTTCTGTGAAAATCTGCTGGTTAATTAGAATGGAGGACGAGCAGTACTGCCTCCACCCCAGAATCCTTCAGCTGGTAATTGGCAAGAATTCAGCAGATTCTGAGGAACTCCATGAAACATCGATGTAGTGTTAGGATCTCCGACGATTTGTTGCTGATTCTGCTGTGATTGTTGCTGTGTTCCCACAATTCCTGGCGAGCCTAACCCTCCGCTTCCAGTCACCGGCACTTGAGTCTCCTCCTCTTCCAACGGCAGCCTCTCGTACGCCGCATTTCCGAACGAAGCAGCCATAATGACCACTGGCCCTGACGCCAACAACGGCCCCACCACGGTGCCTCCGACGACTTGACCCTGTCCGCCGGACAGATATATGGCCAGCCCTGATGCCGCAGGTGGTGCCGGCGGAGGCAGGAACGAGCCGGACAGTGATAGAATCTCGAATCTCCCATGTAAGGTCACAACTGCACCGGGCGAAGCTGGCTGCCGGAGGGTGACATTCGTGACGGTGCCACTCCCACTCAGAATGCAAACCCCACGCTGCCTCCTTCGCGCGAAGGTGGCGACACTCTCCATGATGTCTCCGCCGTTGGCGATCTCCATGACGTGAGACCTAAGCGCGTTGGCGCTATCCCTCGTTATGATGATCGGCGGCTTGGGCTTGTTCTTCGAACCGGCGGGTCGGCCACGAGGCCTTCTACCACTATTATCCCCACCGCCACCTCCGGTACCCTCTCCGGCAGGAGCTGTGTTAGAACCGAATTCCTTTCCCTCAGTGGCGGTATTCTCGTGATCTCGCTTCTGACCGCGGTTCAAGCTGCCATTACCGGCCTGGTCATCGTCGGCGGCTGAGTGATTGTTATTATGGTGGGTCGTCTGGAATTGGTGATGGGGATGAAGATGAAGATCTCTGGTAAGAAAAGGCGGCGGAAGAGGACGACCTTGTGCGGCTACTGGATCCATTAGAGCTTCTTTCTGAGATATCCCTCACAACCCTAAAGAGCTCTGATCTTTCAACATACAAAGCAGAAAGCGAAGCGAAATTGAAGGGAAGAAGGAGATAAAGATAGGAAGATAGATGCTTGTTCTGGGGATTCGTTTCTGGGATTGATTCCTTTTCTCGGAAATGGTGGGAAGAAGCTAAGCTAATAGGAGCTAGCTTACATACCTCGAAGGGGGATCGAGAAGATGAACTTTTGGGAAAAGACGACCAAAATTTGAGCAGAAGCAGACATCATAGTTCTGATCTGTCGTAGGAGAAGAAGAGCTTGAAGGGTTTGATTTTAGGGGGGGGGGAGAGAGAGAAAGAGTTTTCAGTGGGGGATGAGGGTGAGAGTTAAGAGTTTGGAAGAAATAAGGTAAGTGGGTTATAAGAGAGGAAAAGGACCGTGTTGGGTTAATAAGAGGACTATGATGACCAGAGAGGTTGGCATTTAGTTAGTTTTTGTCCCCTTTTCTTCTTATCTTTTATGGCAAAAATATACTTTTGACCATCGTAATTTTATTTTAATTTTTATAACTTAGAAATTCATAGTTGAATCTTTACGAGTTGCAAATTAATTTTTCAACTTATGATGTAGTATTAATTTTAAAAGTAAGTAGCAACGGTTTGAAATTAATCACAAACAGAATAGCATCTGTAACGTTTTACTTGCTGAAAATTTCATGCCATTAGGCCATAATACCATTGGTCTTGCAATCAAAATTTTGATAATATTATTTTAGTTTAGTTATTTATATGTTGTCTTATTGGTCTAGATGACTTGTGTAAAATGTCATTAATATAAATAATGAAGTAACGATATTAATCACTCAGTCATTTGAACCAAATATTAGTAAAAATAATTTCATGGACAATAAATTAGAAATTTAAAAATTCAAGCATTTAGTTATAACTTTCTGACACTACAGAAATTGGATAAAATTTAGGGAATTCCAAGTATTTTTCTTCTTTTTTCAAGGGAGAAGAAAATAATTTCTATTTAATTTGTTTGGGCAGCTTTGGGGTGATTGCTGCGTTGTTGTTGGGTTAGGGTTAGGTCCAAGGAATCGGATCGATAATGGGTTTGTTTTTGGTAAGACAGCGTGCGCATGGGCGGTGATGTGGGCCCCACACCTTCCTTCTCTCTCTTCCCTCTTCTTTCCCCTCCCTCCTCCCCTGGTGGGTCCCGCCTATTCAAGGCAATCTCATGCTTGGATTAAGATCCCTCAAATTACATTATTATATTTTAACAACATCATTATTTAAATTCAGTATTGAAACATATTAACATAGTTTTATTTTTTCTAGACACACAGTTATTCTCATAGTAGAAGTAATCATATTTAAGAAACTGTCGGTTAAAATGCGAGTACCTCTCTTAATAGAGATTTGAACCTTGTATGAAATTAAAACCCAATCTCATTCTTTTTTTTTTTAACTTTTGTTCAGCATTGGTAAAAATAAATTATCAATTTATTTACCTCAGCCACTTTTTAGGAGACATTTGATATTATTATTGATAACCTTATTCATTCTCAGGTACATATAAATGTACTTCTCATTTCTGACCTTTTTTTCCTACATATAAATTAATTATCAATTTGAAAAAAAAAATTGTAAACTTTTGATTAAATCAATATCTAAACCCCTCGAGTTGAAGATCGAAGTATTATAATGGCCAAGTCTCAAAAAAGTCCTGAATTTTTCCGTTAAGATGAATATTTTGTGACCTCTAAATGTGTATAATAGTACTGAGAATTAGTCCTTTGGCTTGACCTTCAAATTAATTAATAGCTTCATATAAAAATGAAAGATTAAAATAATAATTTAGCACTAATGGCCAAAGATGAAAACCTCAAATATCAAATTCAAGACATAACTGAATAATTTATCCGTTATGTGCGTTATATGTTTTACTTTCTTAATTCCATAATTTGACTTTTTATATTATCATGACGTATGTATTTTGATTAGTATTTTTTTCCGACAATAAAAGATAATCTCTTATAGGGTAATTAAAAGAGCATACAATTTTAAAAGGAGGAGGCTCAAATTGAAACTCAGTGAACCATGGAAGTTTATAACTCAGTATTTAGAAGAATTATATATGTTATATAATATATATAGATATATATTACTTATGCTTAAAGTTGGGTTATCTTATCACAAATATCTTTTACATCATATTACAAATATCATTATTTCAGTTTATAATGTTAATTTGTATCCCTATCGTTTACATTATCATATAATTGATAAGACTATGGTCTTATTTGGCTGGATTACGCAACTTCTTGAAAAGTTAACTTTCCAAGAAGTTAACATTGAAGATATCCAAATCAGAGCTAAGTGGCGTGGTTGATTTTTGTATCTTTTTGACAAGTTATAATTATTTTTAAAAAAGAAATACAATTTTTTTTATGTGAAATATAAAAATATTAGGAAAGTAAAACTTATTCTGTTCGCGAAGTTACTTCCTTAAAATTACGAGGAAAGTGTGAGACTTAATTTTCCAGGAAGTTAAGCTCTTTAACCAAGTAATACTACTTCCGGTTCTTAATATAAAAACTAGTTAACTAATTTGAGTAGATTAAAAAAATTAATTGAGTTAGTTATTTGTAATAAATATGTGTTGTTTTTAAAATGTCCTTGCTAATTAAGTATATTAGCTAGAACTATCATTATTACAAGGATTACCTTAAAAAAAATGTAAGAAACAAAATGAATTGAAGTATTATATTCAAAATTAAAATAAAAACTAAACGAGCTCTTATATTAAGAAATAGAGATAATATACAATATGTGTTTCACTACTTTTCGAAAAAATCCAACTTTCTTTCCAACCTATTAGCGGGTGTTTGGATGCCCTAAAAAGGGCTTCTCAAAAGCACTTTTTCGCAAATCGAAATAAACTCCTCTACATATTTACCTCATAAACCGTAAAATTACTTCTGAAACTATGGTTTGGTTTCCATCCACGGGGAAAAGCAAGCCTTATATTTGAACATGCGGTAAACATAACTAATTACCCAAAATGAACTGATTGATACGTATATTTGTAATACAAGAGATGATTAATGTTTTAATGTTTTTTTATATGTTTATTTTTAAAATAATAAATAAGATAATAAATACATAAACTGTAGCTTGGATTTATATGTTTGATATGAATGTGAAGATCATGTGAATAGTAGAGATTGTGTGTACCTTAAACAAATATTTGGGAGTTCAATTCAATTTTACAAAACAAATCTAATTGAACAGAGTTCACTTTACATTTACCCTATCTACATCCGGGGGAAGAAAAAGAGATTAATTCGTTAGTAACATCATGAACTCTTAATCTCTATACTCCTTAACCAATTCTAACTACCTTTTGATCTATATGATTTGATTATTTGTGCAAGAAGACTAAAGATGCTAAAGAGAATACTCTATGGAACATCATAGAGTGCTTTTGATCTATGTGATTTGGTTATTTGTACTCCTTAATCAAACATCATAGAGTCCTTTGAAAAAAAGTAGAGGAAAAGGCTAAAGGGAATATAATACTCAATAAAGTCATTGAGCGATCTTTCAATTAACAATTTATCTAAAGATTTGGTCATTAATGATGTTGCATAATTCATATAGCAAATCTCACCTAATGAGATAAGGTTTTGTTGTTGTTGTTGTATCTTTTACCACTCTGATCCTTATTATAAGCCACTTGTAACTTATTTTTATATACTAAAAAATGCATTAAATTGATAAAATTCTCTAAATTTACCTTTATTAAAAAGATTTCTCTCTATCCATTTACCGGCCATTCTGACCTCTTTATCCTTTTGCTCTTATTCGAACGAGAATTAAATAGGAGTAGAATTACAAAACAATGATTAAATACTCTGCAAGTAATTTATATTTAGGACCAAAAATTTTTCACATAAGTAACTTATAATAAGATCCATACTCGTACATAGGGTCAAAAAAAGTATAATTAATAGGGTACCACTCTATTCTTAATATAAGTCATTTGTAACACATTTTCACATTTCAAGAAATGTATTAAATTCTCAAAATTTTGTAATTTTATTCCTATTAAAGTTTTTTCTCTATAGATTTACAAATCATTCTTATATCTCTTCTTTCTTGCTCTCTTTTAAATAAGAATTAAATAAGAGTAAAATTAAAAAATAAGCATTAAATATGCAGTAGAAATGACTTACATTTAGGACTAAATTTTTTTTTCTATGAGCAAGTCTTTTTTTTTTTTTTGGCCAACGTTTAAGTAACTTAAGTTTAAAACCGGAGTGGTAAATGTGAAGAAGGACGGGGAGGGAAAGCATGAAAAAGCGTGCAAATAAGAACAGAAATTGTGGATCAAGTGTTGGACGAAATCCTGAGTTTAGAGAGAGAGAGAGAGAGAGAGCTCATCAGCAAGCAGTTTTGCATTATTCCAATAAGTAGCAACGTTCCTTCTGTTTCACTTCTTTCTGTTTTCTGCCTCTTTCATCATCAAACTCATTATTATTGCTTCCCTCTCTGCCATTGCCATGTATATATGCCTACTGCTTCTCCACTCACTTCTTCTTCTTCATTCTTCCTCTTCTTTTCACTCGCATCTCGTGCTCAACCACTACTTCATCAATCCCTATACATTCACACAACCATTTACTACTTGTTTTTCCCTTGCATATGTGCAAATTTTTGGGATTTTAGGTTAATTGGTAAGTCTGAATTAAATGAGCTTGATATTAAGACATTAAGCCCATATGTGACTTTTTTTTCATTACAAATACTATTAAGTAATTCGAGTTGAATCAAGCTTAGTAATTTGGGAGAGGTCTCCTAATATAATTTCTTTTTTAAAAAAATGCAAGACTTGAATTCAACATCTTGTAGTGAAGACTGTCGAGTTTCTTATCACTCAACCAGCCATTAACATGCTAACCAAGATATTAAAAATTGGACCAATGGCATTAATGGATTAAAGGGATTAGTGGTTTATTGGCTAAATCATTCGACATTCATAATTAAAATAATACAATTTAATTAAAGTATACCAAAATATTCTATATATATATATATATATAACTATACAAGAAAAATAATATCTGAAGAAAAAGGACATTAATCCGCAAATAAATGAAAAATTCATGCATAAACCACACTTGATTCAATAAAACAAAGTTACTAAAACACAAATATGATGAAATGCTAGTTTTTTTTTTTTTTTAAATTCAAAACATTGTCGTTTTAGGTTCAACAAAGTAGAAAAAATTAAGTTCGTCCAGTACTCTGAAATATTTTCTCGAGTACATCCAGCATCCTAAAGTATTTTGTAATGTATCCAGTATCTTGAACTATTTTTGTTAAGCGTGTCCCGCACTTT